AGGAAGTGCTGAGGCCTGGAAAAAGATCTGTCCCTGAGGGTGGGGAAGCCACAGAAGTGCGGGAAATAAGTCAGGGAAATATTTTGACATATAGAACACACAATCCATGTATATATAAACTGACCAATGGGGTATCGGGAAATACATAGACTATGGGGACAGACAGTATAGGATCAGGCAGGATAGAGGTTATGAACTTGGCCCATGGGGTCACAGAGATATAGATTTGAGTTTCAGTTTTACCAGTCAAAAGCTGTATGATTTGGGATACATTAAAGTCTCTTTTTAAGCTTCAAGTTTCTCAAATATAAAATGAGACAATAGTAACCTTCTGAAGGCGTCATTGTTAAGACAAACTTAGACAGTGTATGTAAGGCATTAGCACAGTTCCTGACAAGTAGGGAGTGCTCATTAACTCTTAGCTCATATATATTTTAGGAGAGCTATTTTCAAATCAGAATCAATTGGTTTCAGCTGTGTGGAGAGGGTCACCTTCGTTGTTTAGGACCACACAGATACTCTTAGAGAGGAGGAAGGGGAAGATATCTCAGCCAGATCAACAGGCCACCTGTCATCATGTGAAGGAGGATGCACACTACCTGGGTGGAGGAGACACATTTGCTATTTGTCTTGCTGCTTTGGAGGTGAGTCTTCTCTCAACAGCTGCTGCCCCTCACCTTTGCTCATGGATGAGTCACAGAAAATGCTTCATGGCTTTGCTGAGCACCATCAAAGCACCAGTCTCTTTCTCATCAACCTGATGCATTTTTATGACACCTGGATCACAGATGTGTATGTGTTTTGTGGCGGGGGGCGGGGAGTTCCTGACACACAGGGAGGGAGAGGTGGTGTGGAAGGAAAAGGGCATTTCAGTGGAAATGAACAGAGCAGCTACACACCCCATTACAACGTGTCAGAGGTAACAAGACATTTACAGTGCTGAGGTCCTCTGACAATGTGTTTCAACACTTCATTTGACTTAGAATGATCTTAATTATTCTTCACACTTGAGCAAAACAAATCGAGCCATTTTCAAGGACACATGGACCATAAAATGCATTAAATGAGACCAAGGAAAGAGCCTCCAGACAGTGGAAAGTGTTTGCATTAGGTCTTTACTCCCAGATCTGGGTAGGAACAGCCCCTCTAACTAATGAAGGAGTTGAAGCTGAGTCAGAGTGTCACTTAGGCAGCTAAGTGGGCAGCTCTGAGGCCACACAGTTCATTGTTACCATGGGTGCACCTTACCATGGTAACAATGAACAGCAGAGATTGTGCCTCATGCTGAGGAAGAACTTGGAGAGGTGGAACAGATGGTCTGTCGTCTGTTTCTACTTTGGGCATGACAGATGAGCAATGGATCCAATTATAACACTGGAGGGGACGAACCATCTAAGACATTTGTGGTCTATGGGGCTGGCTGTGGAGCCATGGATCAGTACCAGGTACATTGCCTGGTCCACCAGTCTTGTAGGGCCTGTTCAGGAGTAGCAATGGTAACCATAGCCAACTCTGAGAATCATATCCTGGACCACACATCACTTGGGAAAGGAAGCATGAGGCTAGAAGTGACTACCACCAAGCCCAGCAGATGTTTTCTGTAGTCTGTGCAGACAATATGGATATGAACACTTTACCTTCATCACGAGACTGAATAGTAAAAAAAGGACCTTCATTTTTTAATTCGTTTGTCAAAGAAAAAGTACTCACTTGTTGATCTTACTTAGTTTAGTGATTCTTCAAGTGTTTCCCAAGAATGCTGAGAATTATTTCACGTTTAAGTAAATGACGAGCATATGCCCTAAAAGTGCTTTCTCTAAAGTTGGTTTCGTAAGTGCATTATAAGTGTAACTCAGTAAAAGTTTCCTTGTCAAATAAATTTGACAAGGAATCCAAAATTAAACAGGTCTCTTCACTAAAGGACTTTATAGTCTTTAATTTATGATATGAATTATGGATATGTGAGTACAGCATATAAAATACAGCATACCCAAAGCTTATTTGACTAAAGAGTGCCTTTAGTCTGAAGCATTTAGGGGAAGAGGGAGCAAAGGTATATTTTGGACTAGTGTTTTGCAGATACCCCTTTTGGAAAAGGCCACTGTGCAGTACTTTAGGAATAATTAGGACAAAATCATACAATTTAGCACTGTACAAATGGTTGAGATTAGTTAAATCTCTATGCTCTATTTAAGACCATCAAGAGTTCTTTACTCGTGCTTGCTCCATGTATAAATGAGAATAGTACCTCAGTTTTGAATTTTTTCATCAAACCTCCATATATGTGGTGGGTATTGTTCTGGCTTCCTTCATGTTTCTATTTAGTCCTTCAAGTCATGTGAAGGAAAAAGTAGCTGATTTATGGAAGAGTTTTCTAAATACGAGGCACTGAATGAAAAGTTATCTAGGGATTGACATATCATATACTACCTTGTATTTCAGAAGACTTAAATTCCAAGAGCCTTGATATTCTCAAAAACTTCACTGAAAAACACCATAACCTAAGAAATAAGGTCCATGCTCTGTTAAATAGTTTAAATATTCATCCCCCGTAATCTTTTGCAGCCATTGTATGGCACATTCCCAATCAGAGACTTGATAAAGAACAAGCTCTGCCTCAGAAAGGTTATCCTGAATAATGTAAAATTAATGGCTATATAATTCGCCCCGTGTATGCTAGGTAAATATACTTATTTATGGTATATTTTCAGACCACTAATAATCAGATCAGCCTAGATATTTCTCTGCTTTGTTTGTATTCTTGTGACACCAAATTGATAGCAGACCTCTAGCTAATATTTAATAAATCTTCTCAGGAAATCTTCACCAATAATGAAAAGGACAATGGAGCCTGCAGTGTAGCAAGCTCACAACCCAAAATACTGCAACTGGGCTCGGTGAGCAGGATCGAAAGAGGAACGTGCTCACTCTGAGGCTGCTGGCATTAATGTGTTCACAGGTGAGCAGGGAGCTTCTGAATCTGCCAATCCCATTACACAGTCTCCTCTTAGCACTGGGCAGAGCTGCGGAGGCTGGTTGGGAGATGAAGGAGGAGCATGGTCAGGAGCGGGGAGGGGACACTGCCTAGAGGCGTGATCTGGGCTGAGGGGTCAGGAGCAGAGATCCACACTCTGCTCCAAGCTTTGCTGTTGTTTACCATTCCCTTGGGGGAGTGTCTGGGCTCGGATCCACAGTCCCTGCCTTCCACACTGCACCTTGTAAATCACAACCACGGTGGCCTCGGGGCCACTGGGTCCCTAATGTGCTCTTATATATTGCACTGAGAGCTGCCCACTCAGATGACCTCCACAAATCTTGTTACTTGGAGCTGAGTGCACTGAAGAAATAAGTGTTGTATTTGGAAAGAAAAATTAATCATCCAAATTAAGTGGGGAAGATTGTGGTGTGATGTAGTAAAAGCATTATTGAAAGGGAAGGAAGAGGTTATGGAGGGGCGTGAAGAAGAATTCACATATACCTGTGACTCTATGGTTATATACAGGAGCTCTTTGTACTGTGAATAACAGAACCTAGATGCAGTAATATTATAATAATTAAAATAATAATAACCATTTATTGAGTGCTTATGATGTACCAGGCACTGTGCTAAGGGCCCCACAGACTCCATTTCATTTAATTTTCACTAAAATAGGCACTATTATAATCCACATTTTACTTATTAGGAAACTGAGGCTCAGAGGGGTTGAGTAACTCACTCAAGATCACACAGCCTGTTGACAGTACAGCTTGGTTTTCAGACTCTAATGATGGGAGGTCTTAATTAAAAGCTGTGCTGATAATGAATCATATCATTTGGGGTGTGGGGGTAAAACAGATTTAAAAAAAGCAGAAGACATATTTCTTGCCAACATGGAGTTTATGCTCAATCAGGGAAGATAGACAAAGTATTTCAAATAGTTAATTAGATGTTTATAGAGGTATATGGGGCTGAGAAAGAGAAGTGCAGGATGCTGTCAGGGCATTTCACAGGGGCCCTTGACCAAACCCATGCTCTACGCCCTACATAATTCTGCTTCTGTCCACAGCTTTAGGGACCAGCTTATGTACACCTGTACAAATAGAATGAGTTAGGAAATTCAGGTTATCCCTCCCCTCTCAACTCATATTTTAGAGTGTACACTGATTATCAGTTCAAGAAGAAGAAAATACATTGTCAGTGTGCATATTATCATCTTCTGTGCCTTAAATGTCTACTGGATAAAAAGTATATCTTTTTAGCTGGTTTGTCTACTTGATTTTTATGCCATTTTGAGCTTCTTAGGTGTGCAAGAGAACAGAGGCACATCTAGAATTCTGATTCCCCGTCTTTTTTACCTGCCTGATTGTGCTATTCCTTTGGGAAGAGCCAGAGGCAGAATGTGGGAGTACAGATCTGGGTGCCACTGCTCACTTGGGTTCCAGTGGGGTTGAATCTCATTGGCCAGATATGACTCTGGAAACTGTGCAGTCATCGGTGAGTTCCTTCTCTCCTGGGGTATTTTAGGGATTCCTCCCAACGGAACATTCCTCTCAGCTGAACCCTGCCATCTGCTCTTGTCTGCCCTGGCACTGAAAGGGAATAGTTTTGTCTCAGGTCAGGTTCTCTAGAAACAGGCCCTGGGACAAAGTGCTCTTTGAAAACACCTAATGAAGGGAGCAAACAGGGTCTGGAAAGGGACGGGGTGAGAGCCCAGGAAGGGTGTGGTCTCAGGCCTGATCCCTGAGGGTTCTGAGTCTAAATCACGTGCAGAGGTGCCCCACCTGGAGGCCAGCAGGCCAGGCTCTTATATTCCATATCAGTCCCCTCACCCTGAGGAGAGATAACCTCCTGGGGGGTCTCAAGAAGCCAAGGAGGTAGGGTGGGTACAACAGCAGCAAGATCTGAAGGGAGCCTCTGTTCCAGACTCATAGCAGGGAGCACTCCAACCACCCCTGAGTCCCAGTTCTTCAGTGGGGGTTGTGGAGGTTTATAGCACAAACACAACATAACATATTTTTACCTTTCTGATAACAGCCCAGCAGGTGGAGATTGGGGAGCTCAGGTACTGACATCAGAAGGCTCTCTAGATCCTGTGTTTCCTACTTCGAAGTGGGGAGACAGTGGTCCTGCCAGTGGGAGTGCCTCCAGATGATGATCACTCCTGGAATGCAAAGTTGTTTGAAAGCATCTGCCCTTCAGGACAGACATCCTCTGGTTTGGAGTCAATAAGTGACATTCTATTGCTTAGGGACAGTCTCCACATGGGCCACAGAAAGAGGAACCAGTTTAACACATTTTAAACTTACTCTCCCAAGTAATAAAGATTCTTCCCACCTCTGTACATTTCAAACTGCAAATATGACAATACAGAAAACTCTTATAATTCATTAACTTTTCTATATGCAAGTATTTAATTCCAGTCAATATACAATTTAAATAATTGCTTCAATAATTTGTTTATGAATATCAGTCCTCCCAGAATGGCTTCCTTAAACCAATCACCTGGTCAAATTTTGTAGTGTCTTCCCAAGAGTAAATGATCCCTTTAAAGGAGATTTCTTTCCCAAGTCTTGAGAGGTGTGGGGAAAAAAAAAAAAAAAAAAGTAAGATATCTGCTTTCTAAGTCCTTGAAGCCTATTTTGTGTCTTTGCCAGAAAAAGAATGATAAATGCTGGGTTCCCTTCTGAAGGGTCAGTGTGATTTTTTTCCCTTGGTGTGTGTATCTTCCAGAATCCTAGATTCTGCAGTTAATGTGCGGAATAGCTGTTTAGAACGCCATGCTTCACTGAATAATCTCCTCTCCTCCCATTTTTCATGGAGCGATGTCCAATTAATTTCACATTGTATTTTTGATGGCTGCAACCAATTGGTTGTTTCAAGTCAGAAGTTTTTACCCAGATAGAAATAACTATGGTGAGTAAAGGAGACTATATAACCAAAACAGAGAATCCACTTAGCCTTTGTTTGCATGCTGACGCTTCTAATTTTTATATACCTGACTTCAATCAATCACAGATTCCTTTCAGAAAAGATGTGCATCCAGAGTCCCAATTTATAGATTTGCTGGTTGTTTATATGTTGGAAAACTTACCTGATGTTATGTCTTAAATTTACAATTTATACTCTGTGTCATTTGCTGCTGTTCTCCAATTGCAATGATTAACTGAATTACATGTTTTTTGAGCAGATGAAGACAATTTATGTAAGGAAGCAAATGCCTCCAAAGAAGAAGGATTTATGCATCTGTGTATGGGCCTCCGTGAGCCTTCCTATGTGCCCATGCCAGGCCAGTGTTTTCCTTCAAGGTAGGAGCCTCCACCGTAATGGAATGCATCCCCTTATAATGTCCAGGAGCTGTGGGAAGACAGATCCATAGTTCCTAATTAAAGCAGGGGTCGGTGACTGGTAAGACAACTCTCAAAATACACTGAACAAAGAAAAGAAATTAGATTCAAGGGAAGTGGAAATCAATACTGGCTCAAAGAAACTATAAATCTTGATATTCCATACAACAAGTATACATGCTTATCATTATTCATTCAAACACATGAGCCAGAATCACATTTAATGCCTCCTGGAAAGTAGCCAGATTTCTACCTGCCTGTAGCAAATGATGATTTATGCCAGGTAAATAGTAGAAAAGAACTGATTTAATTAATTTTGTTACCAGGGTTTCTCAACCGAGGAAGGATAAATTGGGAAAAAGGCTAGCAGTGTATTTTCTAATATTTTTTATAAGAATAATTTTAAATAGCCTACTGTATCTTATGTATGCTTGAGGTTAACTATCTGTCTTCAAGTTGTATAACTGCCTTGTTTACTCTGACCATCATCAAATCAGGTCAGTGAACCCACCAATTTACTTCTCCACTTGAATAGTCATGGATCACTTCTTTATGAGCTTTAGGGTTGTTCATTAATTATTATTATTATTAGTGATTTTATGTTCATTATATGACAGGCTGTTCTAGGTGCTGGGGACTTGAGGATGAGCCAAATGGACAAAGCTGCTGCTCTCACAGAACTTACTCTCTAGTCTCTATGATAAACAAGAAAGAAGGAAATGTGTATATGTCCCATGTTTCCAGCTCAGGATGAGTGCTATGAAGCAAATGAAGCAGAGTAAGGAGATAGAGTGTGAGGGAAGGGGGTGCTGTTTTTAAAAGGTTGCCAAGGAAGGCCTCTCTGAGGAGGTGCCCTTTGAGCAGAAACTTTAAATGACATAATCTATATGATTACATTAAGTATGTAAATCAAGGTGAATTAGAAAAGATGTAAGCTACATGAATATTTGAGGGCATAGAGAACACAAGTGCAGAGGCTTGAAGTGGACACGTGCTTGCCTTGGGGTGCTGTGTCACTGGCATCAGCTCAGAGGAGCTGGCTAAATTATTGTCTAGGTTGAGGGTAAGGGAATAAGAGTGGGAGGTAAGGCAAGATTTTAGTGCTGAAACAAACAAGAGATTCCAGAAACATTGTCCTGATGGGGCCAAAGTCTGAGCTGTTTAGGCAGTCCTAAAGCTGGCTGTGAGATTTAACAGATCCAATTGCAAGACGAGCCAGCGTGAGCGGAAACCGTGAGAGGAGTGTTGATATAGACTCACAGGGCATGGAGTAAGGGGATGGTGAACTGGGGACAGTTCCTAAGCCAAAGGCTGATATCTGTGATTACTTAAGGCTTGTATGTCTGTCTCACAGGTGTGCCAGGTACACTGGAAATGTTGGATGGGTGTTCACGGAGTCAGGCAGGATGAGATAAAAGAACCAGCTGAATCCCAGAAGGATCATCTCTAGTTTGGAGCATTCTATAAAAAGCTGAGGTGTGGGAATAATGGGAGAGTATCAGAGAGGAAGTACAGTTTCTAGGCTTATCAAGGGCTTGGGATAAAGTTGGCTGCTCAGAGTGGAAATGGCCACTTTGTTACCTTTGTTACCCACATAACATGGGTTAATTGTCTGACCAATTTTACTGTAGGATGCAAACGTTTTTTAGCAAACATATTATTTGCTTGGTTTGGCCCAGAGCATAAGGATCTTTCCAAACCTTGTGCTCTGGACCTCAGAGCTGTTTTCTCATTCATTCATTCCTTCATTCATCCATTTAACAATTATTGAATAGTTATTTTGTGGCAGGTCTGAAGATACAAAAATAAATAGCAACTGGTCCCTGACTTTAAGGAACTTATGCCTTCTAATTCCAGGCTGAGCTACTTCCTTCAAACCCCTTTTAATTATTCAAGGAACAAGTTCTTTCCTGCTGGACTTCATGCCACCCCTTAGGACTCTGACAGCACACTGCTGTACTTGCAGGTCGTTTGTTAGCTTTTTGGGCTCTGCCCCAGGAATGCATTATTTTCTCTTTCTCTTGTCCCAGAGCCAGGCTCCTAGACCCTATTTAAAGTCTATTCTTCCAAGATTTACTGCTCTCTAGTCCTGTCTTTTCCTATTAAAGTTGACAATATCACACTTGCCCTGCCCATCCCCACCCAGCAACATATAGCCACTTGGAGTTTAAAGCATCCCACTCAGAGATTTTCCCAAACTCTTGGAACTTATAGCCCCTATCTCTGCTGCCTGCTTAATTCTGTCTCATTTTATCTCAGGGGCATTAGGAGGGACAAGGAGAACAAAGAGATATCCATTCACATTGTCCTTCAGGTAGTAACACCACCTTCTTCTTCTAGTAGGTTTAAAATTTAATAGAACAGTTCCTAAGAAAATAATGGTTTGGGCTATAATTAATTAATCTCATTTAGATTTTCTTATTATTTTTCTTTTTCTTGATCCACTTCTTTAAACAAGAATACGAAATAGGATAGAGATAGAAAGTTGAAACAGAAGTATAAGATTTTGAGCTCAAAGAAAATAAGGGTGTTCTTTGATATCTTTCCTGTGATACTTAGGACGGAGAAGAAAATGAAGAGAAATAACACATTAAGCTCCTCCTATGTGCCAGATGTTTCATATAAGCTCCTCATAATAATTAAAAACTAGAGAGCATGTTCAAGGTGGTCAATCAATTTATCAAATGTTATACAACTAATAAGTGGAAAGTTGGGATTTGAATTAAGCTGTTTGTGATGTTGGAACTGGTCATTTATTCTTCACCATATTTTGACCTGGATCTGGAATTGGCTAGCTGCGTGACTCTGGCCTTACAGGCCTCAGCATTGACTTTGCGGAAATGACGAGATTAGACCCAGGCTAATCTCTGTCAGATTCAGAAGGAGAAACAGGTTTAAACAGGTTTGACCATTTGAATAGCAATATAAAGTAAAATTGACAGACAATTGTGAAATGCCTCTGCTCTACTTAGTGATTTTCTAAGATGAACCAACAGATCAGCTGATCAAGAGATTAAAGAATCAATGGGAAATTAGAAGGATAATGTCTATCTCAAAAAAGATGACTTGACACAATGTTGTAATAACTTAGAGCCACCAAAGCACTTTAAAAATTAATGTGAAATTCACCATCGATCATTTTAGATTTTATACAAGGCACTGCATTTGTATAACTCGATTGCTCAATTGCAGAGAAGCATTAGGTTTCAGACCAGAGAAGAGGAATTAGATGAAATGAGCACTGACCTTTGTGACTGATGAAAATGAGAATCAGCATCTCTGGGCACTTCTTGTTTCACATTGTTCTTAACTGGACAGTATTACAGAATGACAAGAAATGGAACTTGATATTGATGGAAACTGCTTTAACAGATGGGAGTATTTTGACACAGTAATTCCAAGGTTTCCTAATTTGAACGTGGCTGAACTGTATTTTTTAAAACTAAAAAGTATTTTTATAAACTAATCTCTAGAGGAGACATATGCAACAAATGTTTAAAATTGATCTATAAAATTTCACTGTCCCAGGGATCCAATTACATGAAAACTCAGGTCATCTAACTATGTGCATGAAAGAGACAATTCGTTGGGTGTCTAACAGCTTCAGACAGAAATACCAGGCAAATCTGAGACTCGTCAGCATCATACATACAGAAGCCACAAATTGGGCTGTCAAAAGCCAGTCCCCTTTGATAATAAACCTGTATACACCAAACACACTGGGATCTACAGGGAGCAGAGAGCCCTGGAAAAAGTCCTAACAGGCTCAGGCAGGAGCTCCAAGCAAGCTGCACTGGCATGAACAGAAATTGCTGAGAGATTTTAGAATTAAGGTCAAACACTGGACTGGACAACCTCACAAGAAATTGCCCATAGAACAGAATGTCTGAAGCTCTGTGACCTTCAAGGTTCTGCTAATCCCCCTCTGTGAGGCTTAAAGCTCTTGCTTTGCACCCTAATCTGGTAGGGTGCAAATTGAGTTAATATCATAACTAAAAGTTTCCTTCATAAGGGGGAATTTTATTCTTTGTTCTACATCCATAACTCCTCCTCACCTCACACTAAGTTAATTTCTTCAGAGCTTAGCTTAAACATTACTTCTTTAGGAAAGTGCTTCTTAATCCTCAAAACAAGATAAGGTATCTATTTTATGTTTGCATATACTACTTATTTCCATTTGTAATTATATATTTACTTATGCTTTAATGTCTATGATTACATGATTCTTCTCTGTCTTCTCCACATGCCCCATGAGGGGACATTGTGGTATCCTCCAATGCATGCTTGTGTCCGTTGCCCAGTGCCTGACAATGAATATTGAATGAATGAATGAATGAATGAATGAACAGAGAATAACTTGGTGTCAGGCACTGTGCTATGTGCTTTTACATATATTATCATATTTAAACTTCACAACAATCTGGTGGCAGACGCTCTGTGATCCATTTACAAATGTGGAAACTAAGGAATGAATATGTAAAGAAACATTGTCAAATGAATATAAAGAGAGAGAGAGAGATCCAGGACATAAAATGAGGTCTTGCTCCAAATGCAGAGTTCCTTTTCTCATGCCACCTTCTAAGAGCCTCTTAAATGTCTATTTGCACTCTCTCCTTTCCCTACAAAATGCTTATCTTGACTCCAGTTCCTACAGCATTATACTCTCTTTTACCTTTCATTAAACTGGTGGTTCATTAGGTTTAACATGTTTCAGGAATATTTTCATCCTTACCTGGAATACTTGAAACACACACCCTTCACCCCAATAAAGCAAGAAAGAACATATTTTAGAGCAATGACCCTGGTTTGGGGATGTATGGGAAGGGTCTGTCTTGAGATTGCCTGTACTTTTCTATATTGGTCAGTGACTTTCATGTATACTCCTAAAACCATCCGTGAGTAAAAAAGAAGAGGTGAAAGAATAAGAGACATTGGGAGAGGGGAGGAGAAAACAGAACCCATCTATGTTATCGATCTGGAATCCCTGAAGTCCTCAATGCTTCAAACCCCCTTCCCACTCACAGTGCCCCAGCCACCCAGCATTTTGGTCGTCTGCACATTGTAATGGTCTGACGACAATATCCATTAAATGACAGAAGAATTTCAACCTAGTAAAGTGATGCTAGACAGCTCAGTGGACATTTATAATACACTTGGTATGTACTGCTCAGAACTGTAACAATGTTTAGATTAAATGCCCAGGCTCAAAAGAGGCTACAGAAAAGGAAGAATTCCAAAGATTTTTGGATGTGCTGTAAAGGCTTATGGCAGTGCTACTCAAAGAAACAAACCTCCACATTCTCTGTTACACATGTGTGACAAGATGAGGAGCTTTCACCAGAGAGTAGACTGATGAACTGCTTCTCTCACTGAGGCAGTCTTGCTATACAAAGAAAATGGCAGCTGAACCAAAGTGTGTAATGACATAGTTGATGCTGGAATAAACTTCTTGTCTCAAATGGCTAACAAGTTCACTGTCTAGCACTAGTCTCTAACTGCCCTTTGAGCAGTCAAGGCCTTGAAAAGTGGTGTGCAAATCTGGCCATATATTAGAAGCACCTGGGAGGCTTTACAATATATTTAGCGATGCATAAGGAACTTATCCAGAGATTCTGTTTCAGTGAGTTCGGGGTGGTATCCAGTATGCTTTAGCATTACCCCTGGTGATTCTAGTGTGCAGTCAGGATCAAGAACTACTAGCCTCAGTTGTAGCAGGACTGGAAGATGTGAATTATTAATGCTGACCTTTGGCAAAGTATTGAGAGATAAGTATAGCTGACATAAGTGGAGGAGCTTGTCTTTGGAAAAACTTCTTGCTTCTTGGATCTTTTATTAGCCATTCAGGGAAAGGAAATAGAACTGAACAGAGTTACTAAGAGATAGGTGATGTTGGGGGAAGGAACACCTACAGGCTCTTTGGAACCTGAGGCTTTAAGAAATCTGAATTTAACAAGTGAATTGGTAGATGGGATGTTACTCCACTGCACAGGCAGAGTGACACAGAGCAGGCAGTTGAAGGCAAAAAGAAAGTCTTAATACTCTCATTATTCCCTCTCCTCTTCCACGGTAGTTTTCTGGGGATAATGGAGCTATCATTGATATCAGAAGGAAAAGTGAGCATTTGGGAGACGAGGGCTATAAATATGGCAGTATGTAGAACAAGGGGGATCTACCATCTATTGAAAATACTTAAGTTCAGAGTTGAGCCTGGAAAATATGTAGTTCAGAGTTAACGAATGGATGGAGCAGACCTCCAGTTCTTCAGGCCATCCATCCCTCTAGCCATACAAGCTCGCAAAGCACCAACCATTATTCAACTCACCCACTAAATGAGGACGGAATAGAAAGATAAACCTTATAAACACTTGTAGCGCAGTTGGAGCCTCTGCTTAATACTAATAACCCCTCAGACCCTACATTCCAGAAAAATTCATTTTGGAGGCCAAACTGATCTCCTTTGCAGCACTGTGTTGCCCACAGTCACTGCCAGATTTCCTTCCCGGCAAACAGCCCCAAAGGAGTTGTTGTAGGATTTTTGTCCCTTGCATACTCATCTACTGGCTTATTACAAGTATTTAACACACTCGAGTGTATTAATATAGGTAGCACAGCATAATGGGAAAAATATAAGCTTTAGACATTGGCCCTTTAACTTGTTAATGAGATCTTGGGTAAATTAATTTACTTTTTTGAACCTTGGTTTCTTTGTAAAAAGGTTTAATAATCTCTATCTCTTTAGGATTACTGTAAATATTAGATGTGAGCTGACCACAGCTGTTGAGCAAGCTGCATTTAGTAGGGTGCAAGTAGGAAGCAACTTTGCTTTTTGTCAACATTGCCTTTCAATCTGGTCTGCTGAGGCTCCCTTTCCCACTCCATTCTTGTCACTTCCTGGCATTAAAATATCAACTTAAGAAATCCACCCCAATCTTACATCAAGCTTTCTTTTCTCCTACAATTTGAAGCATTGCTCTCCCCTGGATCAGGCCTGACCAGTCTTTAGAAATCTGCCTGACTCCTCCTGCAAAGCTCTGGGGCTCCTGTATTCTTCAGGACGGTAATGGGAGAAGGAAAAAGGAAAAGTTTTACTTACTTATCTGGCTCTGGGCTCTCTGTGTGATAGACACTCAAGTGCTAGTGTTGTCTTTTGCGAAGAGCTTTTGCAGACTCTCCAGGGTACCAAAGAAAGCACAAGAAAACAGGAAATGATGGCTTATGTAAACCCTAAATGACTGGTACCTGGATTTAAACAAAGCATGTGATGACAGGTTTGTGCAGACCTAGGCAGAACATTTGCCTGCTCTTTACAGAAAACATTCTTATGGACTATTTCAGAGTTATGCATGTATATTTGCTTTCTCTTTATTTGACAGTTCCCTTCACCATAACATACACAGTAGTTTCCTTGTCTCTTTCTTTTGTGTTGTGACAAGATATACACAACATAAAATTTGACATGTTAAGCAGCTTTAGGTGTACAGTTAAGCAGCATTAAGTGCATTCACATTGTTGTGCAACCATCACCACCGTCCATTTCCAGGACTTTTTGTATCTTCCCAAACTAAGAATCTGTACCCATTAACCAACAACTCCTCATTCTTCCCTCTCCCTCAGCCCCTAATCAGCACCATTCTACTGTCTCTATGAATTTCACTGCTCTAAATACCTCATATAAGTGGAAACATACAATATGTGTCCTTTCATATTTGACTTATTTTGCTTAGCATAATGTTTGCAAGGTCCATTATGTTGTAACACGTATCAGAATTTCCTTCCTTTTAAAGACTGAATAATATTCCATGTTTTTGTATACACATTTTGTTGATGCATTCATGTATTGATGAACATTTGGGTCCTTTCCACCTTCCTTATCTCTTAAATGCCATTTTTAGATAAAAAAAGTTTATGCCATAAGTAATCATCAGTTGTTGGAGACACTTTGTCAACAGAGGATTCCTTCTCTGGCCCATCTCTTTCTCCATTTTTCTAAGTGGTAGACAAGCACTGGGAAGCAGTTTGACTCCTGTTTTCTGGGAACTGCTTACCCTCAGGGAAGGTCCCCGGTAACCCAGACATCTTCTCAGGGTACCTCCTGCCCCACCCCCACTCTCCAAAAAATCAACACTTGACCTGACTTTGGCTGGTCAACTCTGAAATACACAGACACTGGGCATTGATATCTGGGTCCCGTCCAGTGGGAAAGTCCACAAACACCCGTTGCAAGGCTTCCTGTCCTGAGGTATGGTGACCCTCAAGTGGCAGTTCGTGTATTCAGCTGGATTCAGTACTGGAGACTTCTCACACTTTTCTTGATTTAGTTCAGCTCAGAGAGGTCTTTTTTTACTTGCAACCAAATCACTTGACTAATGTTGTCTGTATTCTCTTTCTCACTTTCCTCTTCTCCAATGCATTTTTCTTCTCAGATTTATTCTCTGCTGGCAAAGGCATCCACCAGTTTTGCTCAGGACTGTTTTAGCCAACATCCCTTAAGGCTAAAGGGATTGTAAACTCCAGGCTAGACATTTTAAATTCAGCTGGTTCCTATTCTCCACCCTGGCTCCAGGCTAAGCCCTGGGTAATTTAAACTGACTTGCTGGCCTCCAAAGGCAGGAGACACAAGACATCCACTCAGGTCTGTATAGTGAGAAATACTGATGGTTCTCAGACGGTGGTATATAAAATCCTGGAGCAAATGTCAATAGATTGGGTGCACAATCAGCTTTCAGAAACCATAATTTTCTTTTACTTTTTCAGCAAGTTTTGTCCCTGACTTTCATATAGTAACTGGATGCATTTGACCCTAAAAGGTGTCTGAGATTTCATTCTGCTTGGTTGGATTTCATACTTCAACTGCTTCTTTAATTTCAAGTTCCTTCAGTTTATGTGGGATTCATCTTCCCTCCCTGCTTCCCCCTAATGATTTAGTAGTTTAAGGCTTTTGTTCTTTCTTTCTTTAAAAAATTTTAAATCCACTAGGAACACTATACCAAAACAAAGACTGACTTCTTGATTTGATACTTTGGAAACTGAAACTCTGGTGGGTCCCTGGGCAATCATCCTCCCTCGGCATTTTCTGTAAGTGATGCAGGGGGCTCAACAGACAACCTCTTTCCACTCATTTTACTGCTCTTTTGTAGGAGATGTATCAAACATCCAAGTGTTAAATCTCCCTTTGTACAGTCTGTGCACGCTCTTATATTGGAATGTTTGTTTGCTAAGGCTGAAGGGATGAAGAGCTGCTTTTTAATGATAATGATACTACTTCCTTTTCTCAAGCATCTGATTGTGCAGTATATTTTACTTGCAAGATGGGATTTTCTTATTCCTGTTTATAGATGAGGCAACAGCCTCACCAAAACAGGCTAAAAGATTTGCCTAGAATCACACAGCTACAAGAAATGGGGCAAAGTTTTAAACTGTAATTTTAAAGAAGTACAGGTATGGTATGCTGCAAGATTGGCAAGAGCTGAGCCTTTTGAAAGATATCTTAGAACTCTCACACCAAAAGGCCCAAGGAGGGGGCGTGTTGACTCTCCATCACGTGGGTGTGTCCTGGGACTTGGCTGCACTCTCTGTCCCCCATTATTTATCCAGACAGTCTGCCCTTGACCTGTGTCTACAGGCACTATGAGCTGAGACTGAATAACAGCACAGTTGTGCTGTGCACACACTTCAGGGGTCATCAGTTCTCTTTTCAGCTCTCATTTGTGATTTCCTGAAGCAGATGTGCCTTCCTTGGGAGACATATTAAGGATCTGAAATGTGTATTAAAAGATGCCATTTGTTTTTGTTAAATAGTTCTATGTCATCCATGATACAGTTTTCAGATGTTGCTGATTCTGAGGATTGATCTCAGGCAACTGTCAGTGGGCTGGTTTGGGGGTCATAGCTGCTCTTTGCAACTTGCAAAAATGCTCAACAGAGACATGTATCCCTGGTGAGGAATTTTATTTTTTTATCTTCATTCATGGACACTGCTCAAATCAGCTGCAGTGGAACCAATTTACATTTCCCTGGTTTTGTGGGTTGTCCTGTGTGGATGTCATGTGTGAATTAACTGGCCCCATGTTTCCAACCTATTTCAGTGACGCTTTAGTGTCCGTGGTGTATCGGCACACTTTGTAGCTGGCTTGCCTCTTGAATCCAGCTCTAACTTCATCCTGGGGCTCATTTCTGTATTCATTCCTCCTTCTGGCCTGACATTTTTTCTTTCTACTTGTACTTTGTCTTTTCCCCTCCATAATTCACAGTGCCTCCCTTATCCTCTTGGATATTTTGACAATTCTGTTTTAAGGCCCATAGAAATTCTCTTCTGTGATAAACCTATGTTAAGGTCTCTGTCCAATTCCTGATTTGAAGTTGCCCCACCCATAAGCCACTTCTGAGACCACAAGACCCCTGTTTCTGTCCAGGACTAACTGAGCAGAGTGAAGGTCATAGCCGCCTGATTTTGGGGAACCACAGGGAGGTTGGATGAACCAATGTGATTCTCTCTCACAGGTATTTAGAATTGTGACCCAAAAATTGAGCCAGTTGGATGGTGGCAGACACTCATGCAAGACCAGGTAAAGTCACAGCTGTAACCCCAAGTGGGGTCATGCAAAGGAGATGAAACCAGACTAGGAAAGAAGGAAGAGAATTGGAGAGAAGATGGGAGAAACCACATGCTTTCTGAGAACATGGTGACTTCTGCCATTTTTGGAATTCAGTCTGTCTTTGTCTTGCCCAGACATACTTCATTTTGTCTTTTGATAGTCCTGAGAAATATTATCTTTAATTAATTTCCCCTTTTACTTAAGTTACCTTGAGATAATTTCTGTTTCTTTTAACAAAATATCCTTTAATCAAGTCACTTTCTTCTTTCTGCCATCCTGCCTTGCTGCCTGAGTGTCTTCTAGGGCTCAGCCTTTCTCCTCACCACCTGCTCTATTTGAGGCGGCAGCATTGCCCTAGGGACAACGCTTGTGACTGAGAATCACTTGCCCACTTTGTTAATCAAAGAAATTAATGATAACTGCCTCAACAGACAAGCCCCCAAAGGTACAAAAAGTATATTTCTCATTCACCTAAAATCTGGTGTGGGTTGGGAGGCCCTCCTCCATCCAATAACTACATCATCTGGAACACAGGGCCTCTGTGGTTGCCAAGGTGGGAAAGGAGAGAGATGGAGGAGGCAGAATAACTCTGAATTGCCTTGTGTAGGGATTGACATATGCCACTGGTGTCTCTAATCACAGGCCATTGTCCAGAATCACCTTAACTCTACGGCCATGTGGGAAGCATAAGGGGGCACACAGAACTCTGGGTGAGTCCCAGCTGTTTATGCTGTACTCGTGTTTGCCTACTACATCCAATGGCTTAGTTGGGTGCCCTGATAACTGGCTGTGGGGAATCTTGGAGGGTGAGCCCTGTTCTGGGTTACTGCAGTGTGCTGCAGACAGTACAGCTGTTCGAAAAGACAGCAGGGGAGAATGCAAGGCCTAGAAGGTAAAAGCATGAACTCTCAAGAAGCCAGGCCACAGACTGGCTTGATCAGACCCTTCTTCCCCAGGCCTGGGAAGCTGCACCTCCAGATGTCTGCCCTCCCAGATCACCCCTCACTTGCCCATATCCCAGTCATACTTTCCACACAAACCTTGTAAGGGTCATGCAGTAAAGGAATGACTATTAAGGAACATGGCTTTTAAAAAGAAGTTTAACAGAATTTATACTTTGAAATGGTTGTGGATCAGAGGGAAATATAGCAAACGACTGAGAACATGGGCTCTTGTATCGTTATCCTTGGGTTAAAGTCTCAGCTCTGCTATTTGTCAGCTATGTGAACTCAGGCAAGTTATTTAACCTCTGTGTGTCTCACTTTCTCATTTTTAAAATGAGAATAATAACAGTGCTTAAGCCCAGATTTGTTGTAAGGATTAAGTGTGCTAATATATACAAAATGCTTAGAGTAAAGCCTGACACATGGCATGGGTTTTGCGTTATTGTTATTATTTAAAGCAGGCATGTTGGGAGGCTGTATAATTATTCCACTTCTGCTACTTTGGCGTGAAGCACATTGGGAAATTCCTGCAAGTAGTCTTTCAAAACCAAGTCATAATCATTTAAGATCAGCATCTCACAATACCTTTTGAATTGATTAACTGAAGGTGTCATTCATCCACTTGACAACTGTCTTCCTTACATGCTAGACTCCAGCCTAACT